ACCAAATCAGAGTCCATGTGGTTTAAGAGCAGCTTAAAAAAATTATTTAATGTGTTACATCTTTTTCAAACTAAATGATCCATGCATGCCCCAGATTTAGAATATCTTCAATATTTGCTTGCTGAAACTGTCATTGCCAGTTGATTGTATTACAGTTTACACTATTGTACCTGAATTTTTGTGTAGGTCAAAAGAAAACAAAAAAAAAAAAAAAAAAACCAATAAAGGAAAATCAGGAACAACTAAGATATGATACAGTAGATGCAAATAGAGAAATAGAGAAATCCAACAGTTTAATAAGCATTGCGATACATTACAACATCATCCTTCGGTATAGTTTCATGTATGTATGTACCCTATATAAAAGCAAAGAAATTATTTATTTATGTTACTAACAAAACATGCAGGTCGGAATAATTTGTACAGAAAAAATACAAACATTAATCTTACCTGTTTGTTAGGGAAAAGACTATTCCTTGCTCTTGTTTGTTGTTCCTCCTTGCAGTTCACAGATTTCGTAAGTTTGGACCAACCGGACTCTTATTGCTCTTCTCCTGTGGAGAGGGCTAACCTGAGAAGCAAAATGTATTCGGAGGGGCTTTTTACAACAACATTCGCAGAGTTAATTTGAAAGTTTTTCGTTTGTGGGGTTGAATCTCTTATTACACTGCCACTATTTATAGTAGATTTTCAATCAGATTTTTTGGTCTGTTCTATGCCCCTTTGAAAAAAAACAAAGTGTCTTGGAAGTATGAAGATCCAACAAAACGTTTTAGATTCCAAGAGCAGATTCATTATTGTTAAGTTCAATTAAATTTAAAATAAATTTAAATTAGATCTGATTTATTAGGATGTATTAGTAGTATTGTAGGTTTGCTTCTCGATGTATTTATGAATGTGTAATTAATTCAAATTTAAAATGCAACAGAAAATATAGATGGTTAAACCTCCTAGATATCTGTAAAACAATATAAACAGCATTTAATACTCCTGGATTGAGTCTACCTAGTAAAACGGCAGCTTTTACCCCTAGAAATTGCATTAAATGAAATGCAAAAATCTGCTATTGTCAAAACGGTATAGTATCATTTGGGCGGGAAAAGGATTTGGCAAAAACTTCTTACTTTATTATACCATATGAGTATCAATGGGTGAGGTAGCAACCATGGCTGCCTCTATCCTAGATCTGAGACAAGCTAATTATGACCAATTATTATATCATATAGATCATGGTTCATCTTATATTGTGGATATTGATTCAAAAATTATGTGTCTATAATTAACATATTATATGTCTTTAATTAACACATTATGTGACTATAAATAAATTATAGGCACATAATATGCTAACTACATATACATAATATTTTAACTGCAAACACATACTCCGTAATATTTTTCTACATTCTTTTTTTGGTGCTATGTACTATCATCACAAAATGTTTTAGATCTCAATACACTATATATTGAGATTAACGAGAACAAGAAATAATAACAATGACAGAAAGTATAAAATACAAAATTTACGTAGTTTAGCAATGTGTCTATGTCCACAGGTGTAATGGTGTTCAAACACTTAGAGATACAAAGAATGTAAGCATCTATAGACATGTACATGTACAAAAATATTCATATACCATAAGCTCGACCTAATCTACTCTACTCATATTCCTTATATAAGACATATTTAACACTATAATGGCACGTTTGGTTCGCGGAATAGGCCTGGAATGGGATAGCATTCCCATCAATATGCCTATTCTGTTGTTTGGTTGAATTAAAGTGAACTTGCAACTCCTTCTTAGCCACTTTATCACGAACAAAGTGATAGTCGATCTCAATGTGCTTCGTGCGAGCATGAAACACCGGATTAGCACATAAGTAAGTGGCTCCCAGATTGTCACACCAGAGTTTAGGCGCAGAAGTAGGGGGAATATCAATTTTCTTCATTAGAGAGACGAGCCAAGTGACCTCAGCAGAAACATCAGCCAAGCCCTTGTACTCAGCTTCAGTTAAGGAACGAGCCACAGTACACTGTGTCCGACACACCCAAGATATAAGATTGTTTCCCAAAAACACCGCAAAACCACTGGTTGACTTCCGGTGATCTGGATCACCAGCCCAATCCGCATCAGAATATGCATGAATATCAAGACAAGCAGATGATGATATATGAAGACCAAGATTGAGTGTCCTGTTAACATACTGTAACACCCTCTTGAGTGCCGCCCAGTCAGAAGTAGTAGGCGAATACATGTGTTGACACAAACGATTTACTGCATAAGATAGATACGGACAGGTTACCGTAAGATACTGTAGAGCACCTGCAAGACTGTGATACTGAGTGGGATCAGCATACGGCACTTCAGTACCACTCACGGCTTTGGTGGTTGAAATAGGCGTGGACACGGGTTTGCAATCCACCATACATGCTTGCTTGAGAATGTCTTTCATGTACCGCTGCTGAGATAAGAGCATGCCTCTAGACAATGGAACAGTCTCAATACCCAGAAAAAAGGAAGGAACACCCATGTCACGAACTTTAAACTCAATAAAACCAAGAAGGCCCTGACCTTCCAAGAACGGTAGCATCTGCGTCCTCCAGAATAAGTAATTCCGTGAGGTTAACTTCAGCGAGACAAAGTGATGAGCCGACGAATGGCTAGTGCTAGTGGGCATGGAAGGAACCTCGGTAACAGTCCGTTCAGAAGAACAAAGAACAGAGCCGTCATCATGAACACCGAGATTTTCCATGAGAGAAAACCCTAGCTAACTGATACCAGATGAGAATATAGATTGTATTGTATTGAATACCAAAGTCTGAGAATACAGATATATATGTTGGAAAAATATCATTAAAATGGCATTTTAAGTGGCTATTTTGTGGTACAATTATCAGTTGGGTCCACTTCCGATTTGGGTTGGGTCAAAGTGGATTCGGGTTCTTCGTACTGAGACGAAGAGATTGATATATTGTACGCTCAAAACGGATAATGGGTGAATGAGATATTGATTCTCAAAGTAGACCACTTGAGTTGGGAAAATGAAGGGGAAAAGTGAGCTTTTGTCCCACATTGATTTGGGAAGATGATTTGCCCCACTATTTATACAAGAGTCCTTTAGAAGATTATTGAATTGTATAACATAGAGGCTCCCTCTTGCGTGCAAGGGGGGTGTAAATCAAATCCCAAACTGAGATAAAAAATGTTTAATTCAAGCTTTGAGTTGGCAGGCCTTGCAAGCAAAGTTATGCCAACTTTTGATATCATTTTTCCAAAGTCACTTGAAAGTTATGCCAACTTTTGATATCATTTTTCCAAAGTCACTTGAAACTTGGACCTTGGTCGAGAGGAGGTCGAAAGTTCGGCCTTGGGCCTTGGTCGAGAGGAGGCCGAAAGTAACACAGCTAGGACAATACTTGTGGGATTAAATTCATCCGTTACGGAATTAATTGTCTATTAATTTCAATTTTTAAAAATTGAATTTAATCTCACTTAATGGTGGCTGTTTCAGGTGTTACAAATCATTTGTTAAATGCCAACTTGAATGCTATTGATCCTTCATCTCCTATATAAGAAGGGAGTTGGACAGCAGATTTTTCACACAGTGAACAAGAACACAACAAGAGCGATACGCACTTGCACATTTTTCCAGCTCCAAAACCTCTGCTTCTACTCCTTTCTTTGCGTAATTGTGTTCAAGGCTTTTGCTCTAGTTCGCCGGGTTCGCTCGTTTGGGTGCTCAAACGTCGAACCGTAACACGTTTTATCCTGGGAAACCTAGGCCACAACGCTCCTAGCACTTTTGGGAGGTGGCAAATAAGGTTTTAAGGAAAGAGTGATCTCTTGACTCGCGCTAAAAATCCTATACCCATACACGAGCCATCTTTTCCTTCTTTCGATTTTTGGATTATGCTTCTAAGCAAAAATCCTCTCTCTATTTTATTTAGTTGTGGATTGGAATTATAATCTTAGGATTATACGTTCCAATTTTGGTTGATATATATTTGCATATCTTTTCCGTAGATATACATGTATATATAACCGTGGGGATCTAATTTATATATATATTTGTGTGTATATATATTTCGGATATATATCGAATAATATTTTATATAGTTGTGTGTGTATATATAAATATTATTTTGCAATGTTAAATCGATTTTGGTTCATTATCACCAACAATATAAAGACACGAAATAGAGTTCTAGTTTAATACTAATAATACAATCCTAATAAATCCAAGTCATTGATCTTGCTTAAATCAAGCTCCAAGATTACCCAAAAAAAAAAAAAAAAAAAAAAAAAAAAAAAAAAAAAAAAAAAAAAAAAAAAACGGTGGCAATTTGATAATTTTGGCATCTAAGTCAAATTTAAGGTGCGTGAGTTTTGTGCTTAATGTAAGTAGTTGTTAAAACTTAAAGTGCGTGTGTTTTGTGCTTAAGGTGCGTGTGTTTTGTGCTTAAGGTGCGTGAGATTTGTGCTTAAGGTGCGTGGATTTTGTGCTTAATGTGCGTGAGTTTGTGCTTAATGTGAGCCATTTTAAAATATTAGATGCGTGAGTTTTGTGCCTAATGTGTTTTGTTCTGTGCTTAAGGTGTGTGGTTTATGTAATTAAGGTGAGTGATTTGTGTTCTTAAGGTGCTTTGTTTGTGTGCTTAAGATGCATCATGATTTGTGTGCTTAAGGTGCATCGTGATTTGTGTACTTAAGGTGCGTCATTTTAATGCTTAAAGTGCATCCAACCGCATGAGAAACCATTCCTGCACCTGAACCGTTCCATATATATATATATATATATATATATATATATATATATATATATATATATATATGAGACTAGATTTTAACAAATACTCTATACATGCGGATATAAACTCTATGTAATTAGAATATGAATATGAATATTATTATTATTACATATTTTTTAAAGGGTATTTATGTATCACGGAATAACATTTTTTATTACCTCAAAATTCATTCCGTAAACGAAACGTGTTGTAAGTGTACTTGATATCATTGATACCATAGAAAAATCTTTAATGTATATGGTTTACAAAAACAAAAACCAATATGGATGAGTTAAGGAAATAAACGAAGTAGTCAAATGCTATCTGCCAGAGAGTACAGATATACCACAAGAAAAAGCAATTGAAGGAGAGTTATTGTCACAGTCCACTTGAGCTACTTGCAATGCTCCCAATCTAGGCCTCCTGGGATCCACACCATCTTCATCATTGGATAACAAATCAACAATAAACATTGAACTTTCCGGCGGCGGCTCCACCGCGTCGCGGCCTTGCAGCATCTCCACCACCGCCGTCATGCTCGGCCGCAACCCCGCCCGTTCCTGTATGCACCACAACGCCACACTCGCCAGTTTCTCCACTTGCCTCTCCTCAACCATTCCCATCTCCACTACCCTCTGGTCCACAATCTCCATGATTTTCCCTTCCCTCAATTTCTCGCTAACCATTTGGGGGAAAAACTGGAATTTCTTCTTCGAGGTTGGGTCCTTGATGACGCTCACGTTTCTTCTCCCCCCAATCATCTCCAGCGCCACCATGCCGTAGCTGTAAACGTCGCATTTCTCTGAGATTCCGTTCTCGAGGAGCCATTCCGGGGCTAGGTATCCCCGGGTGCCCCGGATCGTGGTCACCACGCGGCTCTCGTCTCTCCCCATTATTTTGGCGAGGCCGAAATCTGTGACCATTGCGCGGTGGTCGGCGTCCAGGAGGATGTTCTCCGGCTTAATGTCGAGGTGGAGAATTCGAGATCGGCAGTTGTGGTGGAGGTAGGAGAGAGCTCGGGCGACATCTATGGCGGCTCGAAACCTCAGTTCCCAAGATAAGCAGCCAGTTTTCCGGGCTTGCAATTGGGGGTTTCGTTTAGTGAAGATCCAATTGTCCAATGATCCGTTGGAGATGTAGTCGTAAACTAAAAATCTGAGATCGAATTAGTTCAGCATGAGAAATTGAATTTGAACGTATATATAAAAAGGGGGAAAATAATACTTCTCGTCCTAAAATTATAAAATTCGTCATATTTATTGGTCATGCTCACCGTTATTATTGTTATTGTATTTTTCGCTCATTTACTAACAAAATATTATAAACAAAATTTGCAAGTTCAATATAATTTAGGAGGAAAAGTGAGCACAAAAAGTTACTCCCTCTGTCCCATTTTATATGTCTGGTTCGATTAACCAAGGTGTGACTGACGTTATTTTTAATCTAATGTTTTATAATATTAAGTTTAGTATTAGTATATAAAATTTATATATTTAGAAATTATACTAAAAGTACTATTAAATACAAAAAAAATATTAAAAGTAATACAAAATACTAAAAAAAAATAAACAAAGAAGAAAGAATTGATTTAACCAATAAATTGTAAGAGCATCCACACTTGTGCATATTAGGAGAAGATTTCAGTATTAATTCTTCTCAATGGGGATAATAACAAATGTGGGGTGGGGATAATTGTGGAGATATTTATCCTGCAAAATTGGGGAGAATGCAGAAAAAGAAGAAAGAGAAAGAAAAGAAAAGAGGAGCTGCTGTGCGCGTTTCGCGCACAGCAGCTCGCCCACACGGGCGCGTGCCAAGCACGCGCCCGAGGGCGTGTCAGGCGCGCCGTGACAGGTTCTTTTTTTTTATTTTTTTTTTCGTTTATTTTTTAATTTTAGTTTTTTTATTTTTTTTTTCTCCCTTCCCCACATTCTCTCTCCTAATCACTCTTACATTATCCCCATATTCTTCCCAACTAATGTGGATGCTCTAAGTAAGACTGATAAAATGGGACAGATGGAGTAATAAAATAATGAAAAGTGCAATGCCACTGATAACTTAGAGCATCACTAACCCTTCCCCCATTTATATCCCTTATTTTGTGGGTCCATCTCTTAAAAGAGGAGAGTGCACGATCACCCACCCCAACCAAGCTGGTTCACTTCTCCCTCTTCTTTAATTACCTGTATGTAATTCTCTTTTTTTTTTTAAACTAAAAATAATAATGATAGAGTTGTGAATATCATTAAATCATGTTTAGACCTTCAGCATTTAATGCTGCTCCAGAGATAAATCTCTTTCAGCAACATGCTTCTCTGCCCTCCAACCCATAATCTCCCTTCTTTCTCCTCCATTGGAGCTGTCTTTAGGGAAATGTGAGCAAGATCAACATTTAGTGACGAATTTTACAATTATTCTAACCTATAAACAAAAAATGTAATTATCCCAAAAAAATGTCAAATAAACTACTAAATTTATATATGTGTGCAATAGGATCATTGAACATGTAATCGAATTGTCAAATGACTAAAATATGTGTGAGATATCTTTCAATTTTTTTGTAAAATTTGATCATATTACTTACTTGGTATATACTAAGAGTTCCTTACTTCTACCATACTATTCCGAAAGAAATATTGATGAGTGTTTTCAACTCAAATTGCATTAAAAGAAATTTAAAAATGTATCAATTGCATATATTTTTGCTCGTTTGATTATTTTGTTATATATTTTTTAAGTTTACTGATCTAGTTGCACAAAAATACAAGTTCTATGAACACTTCTTTTCAAAAAGAAAAATGAGAAAGAAAAACCTGGGACCGGAGGGGAGTGCGGAGCAGTAACCGAGGAGGCGTACGAGGTTGACGTGTTGCACGCTGGCGATGGCGGCGACCTCCGACCGGAACTCCCGCTCGCCGCGCTCTTCTCCCTCGATCCGCTTCACAGCCACCGGGGTGCCGTCGGGGAGAACCCCCATGAACACCGACCCTGACGACCCTTTTCCGACCAGCGCCCGGAACCCGTCCGTCGCGTTCTCCAGCTCCTGGTACCGGAACTTCGTCGGAACTCCGGCCACTTTCCTTAGAAAGCTGTACTCGATCCGGAGCTCCCGGCCCTCGGCGTCCAGCTGTTGCTCCAGCTGCTGCCGCCGGCTTCTGAACCGCAGGCGTATCACCACCACCGCGACGACGGCGAGAATGGCGGCGACGTCCGCTCCACATAGGAAGTAGAAAGGGCCGGTGAGGTTCAGAATCAGGCGAGCGACGATGACAACAATGATTAGTATTACTACAAGAGAAATAGCAATTGTGTGAGCTTTTCTGTCCTCCATTAATGGTGCATTTCTGGTTTTCAGAGTGTGGAATTTCTCATACCAAAATGGTATTGAATTGGAAGAACAAGTCTCTGGGAAGGTGAGGTTACTTAAGTAGCAGAAAGCTTCACTTATTTAATTATGGGAAGGAAGACTTTTATTTTTATTTGTTTTGACTTATTTTTACACGTTTTATCATGACTTAGTACCACAAATACGTTTTCCAATAATTTATTATTGTAAAAGGGATTAAATAAGCCCTAAGAACATCGGCAAAGACCTTGTGTTCAGATGATATGTAGTGAAGCTCTCAGCCGGGCATACGCCCAGCTATATGTATATATTCGCTTATCATATTTTGTTTTGTTTTTTCATTAACTCACATCTTCTATTTTCTAGTCACACGGTCACATTTAAAAAAAAAAAAATTCAAAAATTACAATTATCGGAGACGTTGTAAGTGGAGCAAATAAAGCAATTTAATTTTTAACTAAAAAAATTATTATATGCCTAATTTTGGTTTTTTTTTTTTAAAAAAAAAAAAAAAAAAGGAGGTGTGATTAAGCCTTACAATAACTTGTTCTGTAAGTTATTGCTGATTTGGTGAACATGTGAATTTCTTAGGCTGCATGAATCATAAGTGTAAAATTTACTTATTTGTTTACTTATTATTTTTATTACAATATTTTAAATCTACATGCAAAGGGCTCTGATCTGAAGACTCGGACGCTATTCACACTGTCATCTATAATCATTGCGGTCTAATATACCATAAGCATACTATATGACTTTTTTTTTTTTTTTTTAATATTATTGACTCTGTTACAATGTGAGTCAATATTGCACACAATTAGACTCGAACTCATAACCTCCTATTTAAGAGAGTCACTTCTCACTAAATCACAAAACTAGTTCAACTATTGTCAACTTCTATTTTAAAACAGTTAATGCTATTTACTTCATCCATTTAAAAAATTGAATGATAAAAATATATTTTATTGAAACGAATGATAAAAATATAATTACTCTTAATATTTAAATCACATGCATATTATATATTGACATTTTCTTTCTTTCCAAAATTAACCATCAATGCACTTAGACCCCTTCAACTTAGTGCACCTACTTGGCTACTTATTGTGTCAAAATGAAAGGTCACGTTATTGGCTCGACAATATTATTGGTAGAATTTATTGAATTTATTATGGAGTATTATAGCATACTAATACTACGTATGTGACAACAACATATATGTTGAGTAGGTCAACATGGTTGATTTACAAAAGTACTTAGAAATATACCTAAAGATAGACCAAGTATTATTGATTAAATTCTTAGCCCGTACCTAAGTACATCAATCAAGTATATACTACCTTTGATATGATAAATAAAAAAGGAACTCCCTAGTGTTACTATAAGATTTTAACTGTAAAATTGAGATTTGCGCAAGTTTAAAACTGAGACAGTATTGCTGTGGGAACCATGGTCCACACAGTTGCGTGGACCATAAATAAAAAGTACATTATCTGTGTACATAAAACACATTATTTTGTATACTACTAAATAATGTACATTTAGTACAAAAATAGTGTACTTTTAGTATATTAGAAATGTACCTTATATTCAGAAAAAATACATTATTTGAGTACTAAAAGTACATTATTTTGTATAATGTACATTTAGTATACAAATAATGTATTTTTATTATATTAAAAATTATACATTTTTATGGTCCACACAGCACTATGTGGACGTACCATGGTATGCATAATAAATTGCAGTCAGCAGGTAGCCAGGTAGGCATACTATCTAATCTAAGAACATAATAAGTGTGAATGAAAGTTATACCCCTGATTTATGTCCGTTTTTTCCGTTAAGTTTTTTTTTTTGTACATTATGCTATAAAGGTTGTACATTAAAATATTTTGGACAAACATACCCCTACCATTATAACTTTCGTTCTCTTTTCAACTATTGTTACCATGCACATGCATCCACCATATATTTTCTTATCTTCTTCATCAATAATAATATATACACATTATATATTTGAGTTATATGTTATTATTACATAAAATATAAATATCAAATTTATAAAAATAATTTACATTATTATTATTATTATTTTTATTATTATTATTTAAAATAATTTAAATATCTAAAATCTAAATAAATTTAAAATTTTAATATAATGTATTAATATTTGGCACCTATTTTTTGCCCATCGCGCATAAAAAATACTAGTCAGTAATATAAAGGACTCAATATGTACTATAAAAATACTGTGTCATACTATGCATACATTTTATCTCTATTTTTATTTATTGATGGATAATTAACATAGAAAGAAAAATTAAAATATAACTCATGATCGAGTTGATCAGTTTCGGTGTAGTTAAAATGCAGAAAAGTAGTGACAAAGTATGCCATTATTTCTTATTGACAATATTAAGCTTTTGTCGAGAAGTTTTTTCATATGTGTTTTTTCTTTTGTTAAGCATTCATCGAATTCAGTAGCACATGGCCTAGCTAAGGTTGCTGTATGCTTGTCTGAATGTGTTATATGGTTCAACTGACCACCCGCTATTATTTTAGATAGTTTGGGGTTTGACTTGAATTAATGAATTCTATCGTTTTACTTAAAAAAAAGTATGACATTATATATATATATATATATATATATATATATATATATATATATATATATATATATAGAACACTCATTCTATCGTGTCAGAGTCTGATGACCCTTAGTGCGAGAAATTTTGTTTTTGTGGGCAATATAAAAATAAAAATAGAATATTCATAATTTTGAGGTGAGATTGCATCTAGAATGCTTAATTCTTTTTCTATGTGTAAAAATATAGTTAAATGCTAGTCAATTATACTGTATCTTGACAGACTGTTCCTCTAGATTTGGGGATAAATTTGTCAATAATCCAGTTGTTTAATTTATCGTCCAAGATTAATATAGACAAAGTCAATAAATGTAGTTACTCATTCAGCAAATTAAAGCCAATTTGACTGCAATTGCACCGTTTGTGGAAAGTTACATTTTCAATTAATATTATCAAAATCACATTCACTACCTTAAACTTGAAATTAGATTAAAGTTTGACCAAAAAAAAAAAAAACCAAATAATATACAAATGAAATTTCAAAATGAGCTCAATTGTGAAATACGGAGTAATTCGGTGAATGTGAAATAATAAAAAGAATTTGTATTTACATTTTACAAGCAGCGATAATTTTTTCCTCCCTGAGACTAGGGTTTTTCTCCCTGCGACTAGGGTTTTGACGGTTTCTTGCGTAAGATCGGTCGAACATCGGCGACTTCTCTATGGATGTGCATGAAATCACTGCGTCGACTGCGGGGATGTGTCTGGAGGAGGAGGAACCGGGCGTGCGCTTTGAAGACGAAGGATATGCTGTCACGATGCCTTTGCCGGAACGTCGTACATGGACGTTGGTTGGCCGTTTCCTTACGGACCGAATCATGAAAGTGGAGATGATGAAGCGAGTCATGGCCTCGGCATGGCGGCCACTAATGGGAATTGAAATAACGGACGTTATCCCGAACTTATATCTCTTTACATTCTTTGACGAGACAGACATGCGTCGGGTATTGGAGGAAGGTCCTTGGGCGTTTGAGAACGCGACGTTTCTTTGCCAGGTGTTGAATGACGGGGAAGATCCGACGCAAGTAGTGTTGAGCACTGTGGACTTCTGGCTGCAGGTTTATGATATTCCATTGGGATACCGGACTGTAAAGGTGCTTGAGCGGATCGGGGATTTTGCGGGGGTTTTTTTTACGTTGTGATGAACGTAATTTTGAGAGGCCGTGGACTTCGTTTTACCGGGTACGTATCACACAAGATGTTTCGGTTCCTTTGAAACGACGTATGAAGATGATCATGCGGGATGGGACGTGGGTCTGGATAAATTTCAAGTACGAACGTTTGCATATGTTCTGCTTTTTTTGTGGTATAATGGGGCATACTGATAAATTCTGTTTAGCTGCTCGTCGTTCGTCATTGACACCGGATCAATATCTGTTTGGTGCGGCTATGAGAGCGGGTGGTAATAATCCGGCCAAGATATTGGGTGATAAGTGGTTTAAAATAGGGCAGGAGAGAAGGAAAGAAATCGGCTTTGGTGTTGGTGGGTACGGACACAATGCTGCTGTAGTGGGTGGGCCGAGAGGACAGGTGGCGGTGGGTAGAGTTGTGGGGGAAGGTGGAGACGGGCAGTTGGGGTTGGCGAGGGAGAAGGGGGTAGTTGGGGAGGAAGAGGGAGTTAGGGTGGATCCAAAGAGGCGTAGAATGGATGGTGAGGTTGGTGGTGGAGTGGAAGTGGGGGTGGACATTGAGCCAGACAGCTTAAGTTTGGCGAATTCTGGGATTGAGGGTGGTAGGGGGCACCGGGTGAGAGAGGGAGTGGTGATGGAAGAGGATATAGCAATGACCGATGTTCAAAAAAACTTGCAGATGGCGGGTGCTGCGGTGCAGACCCGCCCGACCCAATGAGTACATTGAGCTGGAACTGCCGTGGCTTGGGTAATCCACGGACAGTTCGGGAAATTGAGGACATAGTGTCCCGCAAGAAACCCGATTTTGTATTTCTGATGGAAACCAAGGTTAACCGAGATCATGCAGAGCATCTTCGGATAAAGTTGGGTTTCGAAGGCCTTTTTAATGTGGATAACGCTGGGTTGATTGGAGGACTGGCATTGTTGTGGAGAACGAATGATACTGCAAGAATAATGGGTTATTCTAATAATCATATAGATGTTGAGGTGAGTGTGCCAGGTTTTGATAAGTGGAGGATGATTGGTTTCTATGGCTTCTCGAAGCGTCCACAGAGAAGGGAGTCGTGGGATCTTATTCGGTCATTGGCAAGTAGGTCGGATCTGCCATGGGTAATCATTGGAGATTTTAATGATCTCTTATATCAGTATGAGAAACGGGGAGGAAATCTCCATCCAGACAGCTTGCTACGGGGTTTTGGAGAAACTATTGAGGAGTGTGGTTTGACACAATTACCAATGTCTGAATATCCCTATACTTGGGAGAAAGGAAAGGGCACACCAAACTGGATAGAGGAATGATTGGATAAGGTTTTGGCTACTCAAACTTGGAGAGAGTTGGTGGCTGATGCAAATGTGTAGAATATATTAACCCGGAAATCGG